ACTCAACTATCGTAGACTTTCTCCTGATTCATCCATAGAAGAACTAGTCATGTTTTCTTGTAATTGTTTCTACCTCTAAGCATATAGATAGTTGGATCCTTACAGTCAATAGCTATAGCTTCTTTCTCAATGAACGTAAGCCTGATACTGTTCTTACGTTGTGGCTGACTGACTTGTACCTCACTATTACTCATATTACTCTCATATGTGTTACTGATCTGTTTGAAACTCCATTAGTTTGACTATAGTTTACAAGAGTCATAGAGTGTCGATGATTCATTGGTCAATGAATATTCAATCAAACCATCACGTTCAAATAAGAGGCATGATAATTTTAGTTTTATCGTCACATTAGTTGTCAGAACAGTTCTCAATCAAATTTGAATTCATTCCTCCCAATTAAATTTGAGGTGATTTGGTCACGTTGGGAAGACTTGTTTGACTGAGTAATGAAACGTAAAAGGTTAACACTCTCCTTCTTCTCACCTTTTCAAGGTCAGTTGTCATTAACAATATAGTCCTGTAACTAACCTGCAGCATACTATATTAGTATCGGTAATACATAGTCACAGAGAAAATATTCGTGTATTGATTTCATTAACAACTTGTTGATCGGACATATCTTTTTCAGTAAATATGAAACTATTCAGTTGAAGTGAGACCAATGTTCACATTAAAATATTTCCAATATTTTGTAATAAAGGTCAAATTCATTCTTTACATGAAATTAGAATCTAGGCGAAGCAAAATCAACCAGTTTAATGGTGAATGCAACATGGGAAGAAAGTAAATAAAAACAAAAATAGTAAACATTATTGATTGGGTTAATAAAACCAACATAAGAATACTTAAACCTTAGTGGTTATTTTTATAAAATTCCTTACATGAAATGATAACGGTAATGGTGTATACTTTTGGATTTGTTCAACATATAAACAGATTTTTTGAGTATGGAAATACCACTAACTGGAATCGGGTACAATGATTCAATGACTGAAGTTATGTATTTGCTCTCCTATGCTGTTCCAGTGTAGAACAATATGACTGTCAGTAATCTTTGGCTGCCAACAAGCAATAACCCTATATTTACATTGCATGTGATAATTTTATGCATGAATCGCCATCACACTAGCTAGGGACGAGCTGACTGACCAAACGCTAGTCGTTATGGTGTACGTCAAACTGATCATCAGTTGCGGACTCACATTTCTGGCACAAAATCAAAAATCTATTCTAGTTTGACTAGCTTGGGACAGTTGTAACATCTGTTATTCTCATTTTAGTTTGGTGTTAAATATTTCATGAATCTTAGGGATTTGTTTGTTGTCATTAGTATATAACGAGGACAATGTTAACGTAAAACAGAGATTTTGTTTCAACATATTTCAAGTGACGTTAGTAGTCAACCTGGTGATAGATGTGTCATATTTGAAACAAAGGTCTCAACAAATGGTGAGTGGTCTGTTAAAGACTATCGCATAATGACAGGAAGGGACTAAAATAAGTGTCAACATTTTAGTCTGTTGGTTGATGCAGTTTATCCATTTTCGATTCAGTATCATGCACTACATGATCTAAATAATCTCACTGGACCAGACAAAATTTAGTATTCAGGCCACTAAACGGGAGGGAAACATTCATACTTATTACCTATTCGTATTGATCAGTGTTATCTGTTTCCAATTATGTTATCCATTCACTCGACCACATGAACATACGGTATTATAAATGATGTACACGAATAACTTAGAATACACACAATCACACTAAAAGTGTAGACGGTAGTTATGATTTGTAAATTGATTGAAGTAGGAAATGTTGACCATTACATCCTGAATTAGTGGTTTCGATAACTGGTAGGGTGATGAGTGCACATTGTTAAGGAGTGAAAAACCATTACAAGAAAGTTGTTTCCTCAAGAAAAAAAACAATGAAATGTTCTATCGTTGCTTCAGCCAAATGTTATTTTTTTGTAAATCGAATAATTTTCAGACAACTAGGATGTTTTATTTTTATTTCTGTATTGGGAAATATAAGTTACAACATTTTACCACAATCACTTTACCCTGATAGAATTGTGTAATGAATGAGTTCACCCTTATTCATTCATGCATTAATCATTTTTGAGACAAGAAAGTAATTCGATAGTGTTTAGTTGGATGTACATTACTATCAATTTCGCAAAGTGTATACAATTACAAAGGTGAGAGAGTGTGTGTGTGTGGGCAAAATGTCACAGACATTTGTGTATAAATTTCATAAAATAATATACCGGATATCATATAATTTAATGACTATTTTATCAATGAACCTGAAAATCTCTTTCACTTTCATTTAATTAGTTGATTTTGCATGACTAGGCATTGTTATTGTGCTAGTTCTTTATCTAGTTGATTAGTTAATTAAAATTAATCAAAATGTTTTAATTGATTTGTACCATACTTTGTGTACTGTATGTCTAATATTGATGACTGTACAATGAAGAAATAGATTCGATGGGTTTTCTCCCATGTTGTCTACTCATCCAATCAACCATTCCTTCTTTGTATTTGCAGTTGCATCACTCATTTTCTCGATATTTTTAACACCTACTGTATTCAGTTGTGTCATGTATACAACAAAAATAATAGCTAAATTAAACCGGTATTATTCCATTGTCCTTTTATGTAAGCGCACTTACATATGTGCATACACACATCTAATCTGAACTACAACAAGTGGATTGTAGACGAGGTGCAATCAAAAGCCAATTTATTTAACAGTTGGAAATAAAATACAATCACGGAGATGCTGAAAATTTGTCAGGATATAGTTGTATACATTGGCTTGTGTACATGTATGTAGTGTTTACGTGTCAACACATTGCAAGGTGTGTATCTAGTTGTGTGTGTGCACCGACACAATGTTTTTCTTTCTATCAATTTCGCATATAAAACAAATTATCCTATTTCGGTCTTGTTCAGCTAATAAACCAACATCCTGATGATGTGGGAAATAATGAAGGACCCTGGAAACAGATAGTTACATGGAGGTCAATTGGTTTCTATATCCATATATATCCGATCACTGTAAACTAAATACAAATGTGTATTATATAGCACGGGAAGGTGACAGAAAGGGAGTGTGAAATAGTAAGATAGATAGTAAGACAGATTGATTATTTTATAACACCATGTTACAGTGTTTTTGAATTTTCCACTGGATAGAAAACGTTTCTCGTTCAGTGTTCCATGTTTTGTGTTTAATGTTCGTTAGTACTCTAATAGATAACTTCACATTTCTCACTTTATAAACATTCAGTTATCTCGTCTGTTATTGTCAATGTGACTTTTATGGAGCAAATCAGAAATAGGGAGATAAATGTTATCTTAAAAACAGTATTCTGTCAAAATACTGATAATTTTGTTTAGCCTTAATGAAACATTATACTAAGATAGGATGTTAAATTATCTGGTTTATTTTCATGTATTGTATAGGGCCACCACTGACGACCACCAATCATACAGTTGTAATGAGTGAATCAATCATATTAAAATTACTGTTTTGTTGTTTAACGTTATAGAAAGTGTTTAAAAATGATGAAATTCTTCAAACTCATTTTCCCTGTTTAAGGCATGATGACGTAGTCAATTGTTAGGGATAATTGATTTGACTAACTAACAGGTTCAAGAAGCAATGTTAAACTGGACCAACAAAAAACAGGTTCTGTAGGAGATAATTATGATATCTCCAATGCTATTTATTTAGGGAAGTTGCTTGCCAATACAATCTATTTTAGGGCTTTTAAATTTCCCATAAGACACGTTAATGAACATCAAAGAGTGTGAGAACTGGATTCACGTTAACAAGTTGTCAATCATGATACTGTCAGTGAAAAACTAGTCCAATCAAGACCTCAGATCATGAAGTCAAAATGTGATTTCATTTTAAGTGATTATCAGGAACGATTATGATGATTAAAACGTTATAGTACCGGGAAAATTCACTTACCATTGAACATATAAAAATTAACGAAATAAAAAGTCGTTGTTTATACATACATACAAATTACTCCATCGAATCTTTCACTTACCTACATTCAAATTTAGAAAGAAAAATTACAAATGAGAAAAAATCAAGTCCAATTTCATGTTAATTAAAAGCGATGTCTGGATTGTAATTGTACACACGTACACCAATATGTATGTAAATACATACACTTTTGGTGTACAACACCCTGGATACGAGTTAAGCTTAGAAAAATATCACGAAATAATGATTTAATCGAATCAATGCTTGTTTAGTATATGTGCATACAATAATTCTGAATGACATAATCTTGGAGGAGAATGGCTACAACTTGATTTTGTCTTAAGAAACATAGAAAGGCTTCTGTCGTTGTTAAGGTATTTGTTGCTTACAAAATGTATTTTGTATCTGCAATTACATGTACTTACAGACGGTTGTTATTCTTGCATATACCGATTGTTGAAATGTTATTTTTTGATAATATAGTCTACACTTTTGACTAGAAAATAAATGAAATTTGTCTGAAATCACTATTATATATTATTTTGTTTAAAACTTTAATTGCTGAATAGAAATAATAAAACCACCCATGTTAATTACATTTGTGTACTTTGTAAAATGTGAATTAGTGGTGCAAATCCTGATTAGTTATTCAGTATTCTTTCATCCAAAGCCCTCATTCGCTAGACGAATTACGAAAATGAGTAAATATAACAGAAATTTATCTATGTAGAAAGTTTGTAGCGAGGTCCAACGCTCAGACGACACATATGCCTGGTTCTCCCTGGTTGTAGGTGGTCATCTGACTAATGTTATTTCATGACGTAAACTATCAAATCTTGTTTGTTTGATTCATTAGTGAACTATCCTAACTTCTCAAACGAAGTAAAATTGAAATTTTAGTTTCTAGCTGTTTATTTTAGTTGTGGGGTTGTGTTCAAATTCACTCGATTCATTATTTAGTATAAATTTTCGGTCGATTTGTTTTGCAGGTGACGAATTATTATCAGGTAAGAGTTGATGACATCTTTTAACCTATAAACGGTGTATTTTATTGTGCGAGTAGATGTGTAAAGTTAGCTTGCTATTCCATCACTAGATTATCAATGTTAAATTCAACATAATTCAATATACCACATTTATGTAAGATCATGTACCACTGTGTGGTTGTTTAGCTGTAGTTTGGAGTCTTTTCAGTTGAAAGCATTAATAAGCTATTTCAATACTGATCTCATGGTTTAGATATTTTTTGATAACAGTTTTACTGTTCAGATGAAAGAAGTGGAATCATTCGACTAATGTCTAATAAGAAGACAGTTTACAACATCAAACAGGAATATTTCAGCAGAGATAGTAGTCGTCTTGTTTAGTTTATATATTCCAGTATTTTTTATTTCAGGATAGTTACCAATCGAAAGTGAACAGTTTCCGAAACCGATGGTTTCAGGGATCACATTAACTTGATATACTAATTCTCATCATAGAATAATCTCATTTAAGGAGTCATTTAAAGTCAGAAACAACTTGATACTGATTTCATTTTTGTCACGAAATACTCAAGCGTACTTATTGTTATTTCATCTGATAAAGGCATGGAAACTAAGGTCTTTCAAACATACGGGTACATTAGAAGCCATCTGGACAAGAATTTTCATTGATATCCATTACTATGTTTGGTTGTTTCAACATTGACGGAAAATAGACTCGAATGTGTATGGGATGTAAATCAATTGGTTTCTGAGGTTAAACCTCCATATGTCCTGTATGTAGATTGTATTTGATAATCCCTCAAAGCCTAACCTATCATAACACACCAATCCATCAAAGAACATTTCAGTAGTACAAAACAATTTCTGTATCATCGGTTCAGTTTCTCCTTGATATATGACCCAGACTATGTAACTAGACAAGGTTGATTTTATTCATTAGTTCACTCTTCCATCATGTGATCTTTATCAATCAATCAGTCAATCAATCAAAACTCTTCCAAGTTATGCTATGTGCACATAATTGTTCTTAAACTTACACTTATCATATATTGAAACATACGTCTGGTGTAATAAATGAAGCACGTCTTCCACATGTTTCGTCTATTTATTTTACAAACATTTGAAGAAGAAATTACAATTTATTCTTTTTGTCCAGTTTTCTTCATACCAGATTTTATTATCTAACCAGAGTACCAGAAAGTGAGAGAGAGCTAAATCTAATTCTTAATTAATGTCTGGGATATTGGAATTTAGCGTGAGGATTGTCGATTATGATAAGGTGAATATGAGAGATGACTTCTCTCATGTCAGGTAGTTGAAAAATCTACATGTTTTATCATTTTTCAAACCCAGAAATGCACGCTTCTCAACACATGTGTAGTGGTTTTCACATTCGGTAGTGAGTATTATTTTTAACAAATATGATCATAAACTCATCCAATATGTTTCAAGTTATTCTCAGAATGATGAGGGAATTCAATGCAACTTTCTTCTAAACAAAATTGCAAGGTTACATTGGGAATAATACAGTCAGTGAGGACGTTTTGTGACTTGCATATTTTTCGATTAGTAATTCGATTGATCTATAGAGAAGCTTCTGACATCTCCTTATGACAATTCACAACACTCACATTTTATTTTTCATAATGAATATTTTGACATTTGATGTGTTGAATCGAGTTCATGCAATTATAAGTGAAGTGTTTCAAATTAATTATAACATCGATTACATTTTTGCTGACTGATTTCTTTTATGTGTGATTTTAAAGTAAAATTAAAGGGCATGTAGATTAGTAGACGGAATTAAATCAATGTTGAATTGCTGTAGGCAGGTTACATGACTGGGTACAAATCGCACCGCAAAATATTCCACATTGTTAGAAAAGTGTGGAACATACCGTATAATATCAATAACCACTCAGTAAGACGAATCAAAAGAACGAAATTGCGTATGCAATAGGTATAACAGTAGGTACAGTGGAGAAATATTTTAAAAACATGATAGTTCCACATCATCGGATACTGAGTGCGTTGGCTAGATCTAATCCTTTTGTACCACGTAGTTTTAGAATATACAAACAGGGGAAATGTACTGGGTTCGAGCCGCAATGTCAACATCAACACTAGAATGTAAGTAAATAAAATTGATGAGTCCCATGTTGAACAAAATGCACATCCTAGATTCCACTACTGGCCATGATCCACATGATCACTAATACACGTTTTTTACAATTAGCAAAACAGCATATTTAGCAATATCTCACGGTGTCTAAAGTTATCGAATTTCCTTTTTTCATTTTCATGCTTTGTTCGATTCGACTGTTTAGTGGGTGATACAACCATTTTCTCAAATAAACAAAAATGTGGAAAACAACATTTTACTTATAATATTTTTTGTCAAAAATAAATGGAATTTAAGATGTTTTTGCCGGTTCGTATATTAATAATAATTATTTTTATTATTATCATTATTGGCACTTAGACTAAAATTATAAGGTTAAACTCTGCATCTAAATGTGAATGTCATGATGAGGTAGTAATCATGAATAGTAACATTCAAAAAACGGGGGAAAAATAATGAAAATAGCAAAAACAATAACAGTAATAATAGTAATAATGATGACAGTATGGTGAAAACTAATGTTCATGATTAAATATACGAGGATTAAATGGAAAGTAGATTGATTGTAAGTAAATTGTTGGCCTTTAATCTGGCTACTGTTTTTATTGTTAGTTAGCGTTTCTGGTTAGCGGTTTTTTTTAGCGAGTTAGTTTTCTACGGGATGTGGTCGCTAACCCCCAAAATTATTCATGTTATTCAAGTTATTTATGAGTTTTAAGGAAATTAACAATTTGAAAATGTAACACTTACCACTGTTTGTCAGTTAAAGATGAGTTATAAACATGACAAAATTGTTCGTATTTGTAGAATTTAATTAACTTATTGTATCGCGTCGCCTCCTCTTCTGCTACACCATAAACTAATTGTTCTGTTAATTTCATCACATAATATTATGATACCCATAAGTACATTTACGTAAATGACGGCTGGTTTAAATGGACGTTAAAAAAAAGTGTGTATTACTCCGATTGATATTTTATGCGTGGTTTAATTAAGTGGAAACCTAAAATAGTATATTTCTTACAGTGAAATTAGTTTTGTTGCAATCGACATATTGTTTAACAAAGTAAATGGTGCAGAAATGCTTACCATGTTTCATTCTGAAATGCACATATCAATTCATTTGAATGTACAATATTAGGCACGTTAATATAGAGAATGTATCTTCTTTCTACAGCCGTTATGTCTTTTAGTTGTCTTGTAAATAATTTTTATTATGAAGGGTTATAAAACCGCTGTAGTGATTCCTTAGTTGTTTTTACGCAAATTGAAGGACAATATACTTTACTTCAGACAGACAGAACAAGGGTTTTTCAGTTTTACATGTACAGTGTTGCAGTGAGTTTAGGCTGTTTTGCATAGTGTTTGTACGTTGTTGGATTTTAACTGGTTGTTAGTTTAATATTGCACTTGTGTTTGTCCTGTTTATTAATAAATCGAATGAAGGGATTCTGTTCGTTGATTCTGCTTCTTTTGTAAACTTGATGCCTTTGAATATTTCATTTAGTAACTGGTGTGCTTTTTCAGTTTGTCACTCACATGAACAACGAAAATGTCATCTACTCATGATATCTGATTGATTGGACTTTTGCTTAATGTCACAATACTTCAGGCGTGGTGACAAGTTTCCAACTCAGTCTTTTTCAAATTAACACTGGGAAAATTATATTCATACTGACTTCAGTTAGATGGAAATGGTATTTGTGGAATCTGTTTGTCCACGTCTTTCCTCAGCTCAATACGGTTCCTTTCTTTTCTTGCATAAACCGCTATCCTCACGCAGTCCGAAAATTGTTCTTTTAAGTTATCAAGAAGTTCTTCAACAGCGAAAACTCTCATTTACATTATTTCAACATTGCAATAATAATATATGAACTCTGAGAAACGATTTGACTCAAAGCATAACGTTTAAGGGTCTTTCCGTCCTGTCGAACTCTAGAGCTGCGAAAACACTTCTAGTATATTTTCGGATACAGACTAGTTGCCATGCTCTCTCTTATAAAATCAACATTTATCTTTTCTTCACTCAGTCTCGCATCGCACTTCAGATACTCATTAATAACCTTCAACCCACATGTTTGCTCTACAGATTTCAGTACATTGAAAATTCCCATTTAGAAATTTGGCAAAAACAAAACGAATAGAGAGACGTTGTTCTCAACTAGTTTTCCATCATTGTTCTTCACTGATATAAATGTGTGATTTATAACAATAAAATAATAGTGATAATGACAATATTAGTAATGATTGAGTAGTGGTGTATCATCATAATTATATAGTATCACAGTGATCGTAAAGCAATATGAAGTGTTTAATTGAGTAGTTGAAAGAAAGATGATTATGATAATCGAAGTAATTATTTGCAAAAAACTGAGAAACTCAGTTAAACAACTTTTAGATCATGTAAGACTTAAAAAGAAGAATCAACAGAATATTTGGATAAAAAGTCAATTTCATGGTAGCTATGTAAGAATTAAGAGATGGATATTAAGAACATGTAAAAACAAGAAAGGAAAAGAAATTAGAGATTTATTTTGAAATTTCTTTTGAATGAATATGGTTAAGCAAAGTTCAACTGAAACACACTCATATGTATTGATGATCAAAGTAGAGAGAGTAGTTGTACAAACTTCTTTCGAGTATAAAAGTTAAGTCTGTGAATATGGATTCCGATAGATTCGGAAACATGAATAAGACAAGCTCGTAAACCGTGTGGTGAATTTCATGGAATATGGTGAATAATCATGAAAGTCACAAAAACATTAAAAACATGATTTATGTAAATTTATTCAAAATTGTGTGTAAATTGTACGTATAGATTGGTTTAAAAGACTTGACAGAACTTTCCGACTTTAAGAATCACCGATCAATAAGTAATCTATTTTCTGTAGTTCTAATA